GTTTGTTGGCCATAGACAGGGAAACAGATCCACATGAGTTACTTGTGGAAGCCAGAGGATGCCCACAAGTCAACTGCTTCGGGAAAGCCTAGATTTGCATTCATGTGATGATACACAACTTCTGCCTTGATCAGTGGAACTTTAAAAGCAATGATCCTGGCTAACATTTCAAGTGTAAATTCAAGAAGTCACTTCGCTGGGCTGATCCTAAGACGCTCCTCACTAGAGCCAATGGAAACACAATAGAGCACGTTCTAGAAAAGCGATTCCACAGGGGCCACAGCAACGATGTACAGGGCAAAACGCTCTCCTGTTCTGGTTCAGTCTGGAAGAGTGATGAAGCACCTAGCTGCCGCTGCTAAGTCGCTTCAGTCGTGTCCGACTCTGCGACCCCATAGANTGCCGCTGCTAAGTCGCTTCAGTCGTGTCCGACTCTGCGACCCCATAGACGGCAGCCCACCAGGCTCCCCCGTCCCTGTGATTCTCCAGGCAAGAACACTGGAGTGGGTTGCCATTTCCTTCTCCAATACATGCAAGTGAAAAGTGAAAGTGAAGTCAGTTAAATGGATGTAACTCACATCACCAGACATAAGCATGTCGGCGATAAAGGACAACCCTGAGCCAGACCAAGTTTCCCATGAAAGCAGTGAGTTTGGGTCTGTTTAACTCTTCTGATGAACCGGGGATTAAGGTTCTTAAGATTTACTCTCATGTCTCTAATGATTTTAACATTTTAATTTTTATTTATGTATTTAACATTTTAAAAGCAACTATTAGCATGCATTCACACTGGTCACAGAAATTCTCACCTGTAGAAAGTTCCATAAAAGTGGAACTTTGAGGAAGCTAATGCCCGTGAATATTCCCAGTTAATCAGCTTGTGGTGGCTGTGAGGGGGCTTCCCTGGTGGCTCAGACGGTAAAGAATTTGCCTGCAATGAGGGAGACCCAGGTTTGATCCCTGGATCGGGAAGTTTCCCCTGGAGAAGTTAATAGCAACCCACTCCAGTATTCTTGCCTGGAGAATTCTAAGGACAGAGGAGTCTGGCAGGCTACAGTCCATGGGGTTGCAAAGATATGGACACAACTGAGTGACTAACACTAGACAGTTCAAATACTTGGCCAAAAACTTCTTTGGGTTTTCATGTTCCAGAAAAACGAACTTCTCGGCCAACCCAATAATTTGCTACGTAGAATTACTAGTAATATGACCAATAGTGGTTTCCAAAGAAAGGCTTTACACTAAGTCTTCTTTCTGAGTAATTAGAAAGTAACACTCGTTTCTGTTGGAGCCACACCTTTGTTCAAGATACTGAAACCCTGCAGGAAAACACACATCTAGTTGGCAGAGCCAAGCCTGGGTGAATCACTAAATTTGATCTTTCCACAACTGCCACTATAAAAAGAGAATATGCTTTCTATAATCTGCCATGACAATTACAAGACAGAAAAAAAAATCCCTGAGTAAATATAATAACAAAGCCTATTTGCACGAACAATAAAAGATATGCCATTTTCTCAATGCCATGTAACAAGGTACACAAGCTTCCTCCTTAGAGCACACACAAATATTGGCCACCTGGATCATAGACTAAATTTTGCTTGGCATCAGTTTCACTGCCTAATAGTTCTAGATTTATATGTTTATATCGCAATTGATTTTCTATTTCAGCTTTTGTTGGCCCAGAAATGATAAGAAGCACCAACAGAGATAAGGGATGCTAGGCGCCAAGCCCTTAATATCTTTGTCAGTAGAACTCAGAAACCTCTCTCTTGGGCATTCAAGGGAGTTGTCCTCCCAGGATTAGCCTTGAGCCCTTCAGTTCGAGCTGGACTGGTCTGACCATCCGGCCAGCTCTGTCAGGAAGACATGAGGAGGCCTGTCATGATTTCCTACCAAAGAGCAAAGAGCTGGAGTTCTTGCTCCTCAACATTTACAGACATAGTTTTCTCTTTTAGAGACTACTCTAACACCCTGGGCAGAAGTTCTAGGTGACCACAAACCTCGTCCTGTTTAAGTTGCTCGGGCTCATTCAAACAGGCACCGCGTTGCTCACATCCCTCCCTGACAGGGCTTCTGAAGGCAGGACAGCTCCGACGGCAAAGCAGCACAAGGCACCCACAGAAGACACATCTGCCATTTCACAGTTTTAGAAAGGGAAGTCATCAGACTGTCTTGCAACCAAGCATAAGTTCAATCACCGTATTGACAACAGGGCTGTTTCTTCAGAGGTCAAATACCTTGTTGCTCATGTGAACTAACAAGCAAGGTTTGAAAAAAATTGGTGTAGTAGATCTTATTTACAAAGCAGAAATAGAGACACAGATGTAAAGAACAAATATATGGATGCCAAGGGGGAAAGGTCAGGGGTGGGGGTGGTGGTAGGAAGAACTGTGAGATTGGGGCTGACATATATACAGTACTATGAATAAAATAGGTAAATAATGAGAACCTACTGTCCAGCACAGGCAACTCGACTCAATGTTCTGTGGCGACCTAAATGGGAAGGAAATCCAAAAAAGAGGGAATATGTGTGCACGTTTGCTGATTCACTTTATTGTGCAGTAGAAACTAACACAGCTTTGTGAAGCAACTATACTCCAAGAAAAATGGGGAAAAAATGCAGGGAGTTCTATTTTTTTAAGAACTATAACAGGGTTAACAGGGCCGAGAGGACTTGGTTCAAACCTTTTAAAATCAAGAAAGTCATTATAACAACAGTGTATCAAAATCAGCCACTTACATGAGTCCAACTGTTGTTCTAAGTGCTGTTTGCGGTTATGCAGCCAAGTTACACTGGTTAAAACAACAGGATTATTTATTCACTGGGTGAAATATATTGGAAAGAGGCAGATGACATGTATGGGCAATTAAAAATAAAAAAACTCAAGGAAGATGGACAGAAGAGGGTACGGCGTTGAGAGAGAAGAGACATGACCTTAGATTTCTATGATCTTTCGACGTTTCACTTTCTGTAGCATTTAATGATTGAAAAATGCTGTTAGTCATTTTCAACTTGTGGTTAGGCGGCAGGAACCACAGAACAGGAACTCCACTGTGGCAGGAGTTTTAGAAGCAAAAAGCTTTTTGTGTGGGTGGGTTCATTTACTATTTTAACTGGGTTGTATCCTTAGTCTCCTTTAAAGGTGTGGTTGCTATTTCTCCTAGGCAGTGCGCTGCCTCCTTTTCTAAGGCATTTTCCCTGTTTCCTTCGGAGCTGCATGGAAAACAGGGAAAAAGCCCAGGTTTGCCACCTACCTCAGGTTTCTCTGACTCCACTGCTCACTTGATTCATTCCTTCAGGCTGGTTATTTCTGAGGTTAACTTTCCTCATCTTATCTGAGGGATGCTATGAACTTTCTCTCAGGTTTATGAGCATTAAACATGATCACGTGTCTCATGCCAAGCACAGAAACTGGTGACCAGTTTAGCTCATCACCAGTAGCTGTTAATGAGAAGTGTGCTTTTCACCATGATGCCAGCACTCCTAATACTTCCTCCTAAGTTTTCACGTTTTCTAACTTTTTATCTCCCCAGCCTCCATTTCCTACCCTACTCTTATCATCACCTAACCTCTCTTAAGTGCTAAACATAGGCTAGAACACTGTGCTAAGTACTTTATATAAATGAATCATTGCTCAGATCTATGCAGGTTTATTACATTAATTCCAGGGTTTTTGTTTTTGTTTTTTTTTTAAAGGGAGAGTTGAATTTCAGACTTTAGGTGAAGTTACTGCTTACACAACCAGTTGCCAAGCCAGGATTGGATTTGAGGTCATTCTGACTTCAGCCTCAGTGGAGCTCTTCGAAACCACCAATTACATCAATTACACTCCTCACCAGCTCACAGACCCACAACAACCTATAGAATGCCAGGTCGGTCTGACAGCCAGTTTAGCGTGTTTAACTCTCTTGTATCTAATTTCAAAGCTATTTTCTTGTGGGTGGTGGGGGTGTCTTGTGAATTCCTGACCTCCCAGCGGGCAGGGATCTTACAGAACATCTCCTAAGCACCCAACGCCTTGCAGCGCACAGACTCGGAGCCCAGTAGATGAAGGCTTAATAAGAAAAGAAAGTGACAGGGCAGAGATAAAGAGTAAATACAGTGCATGATTATAGCAGGAGGAAAAGGAAAAGGAAGAAGTAGAAAAAAGTTCACGGGTAAGGAACAAAAGCAAATGTTGACTCAACGCCTTAGTGCCAGTCATCGCACTTAGGCATCTTTAAGAGACTCTTGAGACTGTCACCTCACCTCTAAAGATGAGAAACGGAGCTCCGTGTATCTGGTTGGCCGGCTTCTAGCCACAGTCACGCGCACGTGGCACGGGTTTCCTGAGACGCCTGCCTCCGGCACCTCTTGGGGTCTGCGTGGTAAAAACGGAGGCGGTTCCCCTCCCACCGATCCTCTGCTACTGCTGCTCAGTCGTGTCCGACTCTCTGCGACCCCATGGACTGCAGCCCACCAGGCTCTTCTGTTCCTGGGATTCTCCAGGCAAGAACACTGGAAAAGGTTGCCAAGCCCTCCTCCAGGGGATCTTCCCAACCCAGGGATCTAACCCAGGTCTCCTGCATTGCAGGCGGATTCTTTACCCTCTGAGCCATCTAGGGAGACACAAGGTGTGCGCATCAGCGAGACAAGCGATTAAGCAATTACAGGTTTGCCAGCTACACTGGTCCACACTTCGTTCTTACCCTGCACTACAACGCAAGGAATCTCAACTCCCTTAACCAGACTTTTTGGACACATTTTCTTTTTCCTGTAAGTCAACTCAGACGAAGGAGATAAACGTAATCGCTTGCTCTTCACCGAGCCAGAAGCCGGCGGCGGAGGCTCCTTGCCGCAGCCCGCGGACCTCCTCCGCGCGGCGCCGGCGCCGGGACGCCAGGGCTGGGGCTCCGGGGCGGTGTTCGGCCGCCTTCCCGCTCCGGAGGCGGGGCCGGCGGGGGCGGGGCGCGAAGGCGGGGCCGGCGGGAGGCGGGGCCGAGGAAGTCGCGCTGCCCCGGGCGATGCCCCGGCCCCTGCCGCGTCCCGGTGGCTCTAGGAGCTCGCGAGTGGCGGCGGCAGCAGCCCCGGTAGCTGGGCCCACGCAGGTAAGGGGCTCGCGCCGGCCCCTTTGCAGCTCCCGGGACGCGGCCTTTGATAGGTGAAGCCGCGCGGGCGAGCGGGGCAACCGGGCTGCTCCTTGCTCGTGCTAGGAGGGCAGGGGTGTCCGCTGCCAACAGAACCTGGGATCCTGAGCGGCCGGGAAGGGAAGCCAGTGGAGCTGCCGGTTCGGGAGTCAGAAAGGTACGCCAAGCATCGGGGTGCGGGAGGGCGCACCAGGGCAGGGCAGCCTGCCCCGGGATCTCTTTGCATTTTGAAGGACCTACGTTTGGTCTCCCTGGGAACTCCTTTCTGAAGAGGCCAGTCCCTCATTTGGGCGGAATTGGATGCACCCCCTTCGTGGAAACCCGGAGAATCCGCTTGGGTTCCTTGCGCAGAGAGCCCACTGATAATTGTGTATAGGTTACAGAGTATCTCGTAACAGTAAAAAAAAAGAAAAAAAACAAGAAACGGCGGTGGTGGTGGCGAACTCGAGAGGCAATTTCTTCAGCAATTAGTTCCCCAGCGCACTGTCCATTTGTTAAGCAAATAGTGCGTTGATGGCTGGTAAATCTGGTTGGGTTTCCACGAAGTGGATTAGAGCGTCTGAAGCAACTTGTGCGCGGTGTGTGGGGATTTCACCCGTGCCTCGGTGCTTACCCGAGCCTGCTCTAGAAATTTCATCGGCATCGGGCACTTGGAGTTACCGAAGAGCCCCGTGGTGAACCTGGGGACTCTAGAAAAACCTGCTTCACCGACGCACCAAATCACAAACAGGTCTATGGATTCGATTCCATTAGCAATCACTTTTTGCTTGGATCAGCAGCATTTCAATTTAACAGATGTTAGTTGCACGCCTGTCAAGGGGGGAAGCTCTAGGAGAGCACACAGGCTGGTGTGCTGTGAGGCAGCACAGGTGTGGATACAAAAGGGAATATTTGGGCAGTCCTTTCTCACAGGTGGATGTTTAGATAGCACATTGTGCTTTTGTCTTTGCGGCACCTCTTTGATCTCTGGTAATAAGCATTTTAATGGTAGGGGAAGTGAAAATCTTTAGAGAGTATTTATCGTTAGCCTGGTCACATCCAAAGTGGCAAGGATTCTCCAAACCATTCTTAAAATAAGGTTAGTTTTGTTGTTCGGTCGCAAAGTCATGTCACATGCTTTGCAGCTCCACCGAGAGCAACACCAGGCTCCTCTGTCCTCCAGTATCTCCCGGAGTTTGCTAAAACTCATGTTCATTGAGTCTTTGATGCCGTCCAACCATCTCATCCTCTGCTGCCCCCTTCTCCTCCAGCCCTCAGCCTTTCCCAGCATCAGGGTCTTTTCCAATGAGTCCACTCTTCCCATACGGTGGCCAAAGTATTGGCGCTTCAGCATCAGTCCTTCCAGTGGATGTTCAGAATTGATTTCCTTTAGGACTGACCTGTTTGATCTCCTTGCAGTCCATGGAACTCTCAAGAAAAGTCAGCTCTGTACCAAGCATCATGCTAGTCACTTTACTTAAAATGTTGCATAAAATTCACCAAGAAGATGTTACTAGCTCTGAACAGATGAGAAACTAAGGCAGGGAAAAATCCAGGAATTTGTTCACAGGAACTGGTGGACCTGGGAGTTGAGTGTGGATATTTCTGAGTGCAGAATCCATGCTTTTTCACTATTCCAAGTTACTGTGAGACAGTGTAAATATGCAGATTTAATAGAAATGAGCATTCAGATTTACACATCTTGAGAGTTAAAGTTGTCATTTAGCTGCTACGTTGTGACCTGCTCTGCGACCCCATGGACTGTGGCCCCCCAGGCTCCTGTGCCCATGGGATTTCCCAGGAGAGAATACTAGAGTGGGTTGCCATTTCCTTTTCCAGGGGATCTTCGCAATCCAGGGATCAAACTCAAGTCTCCTGCTTGCCAGGTGGATTTTTTGCCACTGAGTCACCTGGAAAAGTCATCGTGAATAAAACGAACATTGTTTTCATTCTCTTTGGGTTGTTAAACTGAGACTAATCTGGGACAAGATGAACAGTATTTTCAAAAATATGAAATTTATTATGTGTCTTCCTTAGCATGTTTTTAAGGACCTAATATAGCCAAACTGGGCAAATTAGTAAAACTTTATATGTATCCTGTGTGTATTACACATTGAAGTATCAGCTAATTTTCATATTATTCACATGCTTTACTGTATTTCATCTTGATTTCTACCCAGAGTTTACAGGTAAATAGAGGTCACTGTTGCCACCTAGAAAGGACTTTGTGTGTATGTATAAATCTATAACCATAGCTGAATATATATAATATTTATTTTAAAAGGTATATATGTTTTTCCTTAAATGTCTCTCTAGAAGTACAGAGTACTCCAACATGCTTATTTAGGAGAGAATCCTAAAATACCAATTTAGCCTTTTGAGTGAATGATCCATAACAGCTCAACGGATGATTTCTTTAAGTGCATGTAAACCGCACAAGTGATTTTCAAATTAAAGTTATTATATTGTTTAGGATGAGAATGAAAATAGTACTTAGAATTTTAAATACTATCTTCTGACATGGAGAGCACTTGGTTTCTTAAAACCTTCCTTGCAATTGCTGGTAATTACCTAAGAAAATTGAGGGGTTTCATATCGAAATTATCTTCAGCTGTAGAAGAAAGAGTTTTCTGTTGAAGAAAGGCTTTTTGCCTGTGTTGGGAGGATCAGGTAGATACTCTGCCTGGATTGTGTTTGGCACATTTCGCCCCCACCCCATCTTCATTGGATAGAGAGATCGGCAAGACACCTTGAACTTCTTAAAAGCATTTAAAGTCCTACCTGGCTAGTGTTTATAAAAGTGTGGTTGGCTTGGTTAAGATGCTGTAAAGAAGGGGCACGATGGATGATGTTTTGGAGAAATTTACAGAAAAGGTAAAGGGCCAAGGAGAAGCGAGTGCATGGGCTGTGAAGGGGGCAGTTCCCGATTTTGTGACACCTGAAAGGTGAACAGAAGGGGATCCTCATTAAGCAAAATAATACCAAATTAGCCATCAAAGTGAATGCTTATCTAGAACAGAAAAAAATCATAACCATTTGCTGGTGATTGCTTTCTTGTTTCTACTGAGATCTTTTGGGGCCCTTTACCAGAAATGCTTACATAAAAATGCTTACTGATTGCATCCTTGTCCCTGAGAACACTCAGCCTCTCCTAGCGAGAGGCTTGAAGCCCTCTGGGGGGCCGATGCCAGTGAGAGACCAGAAATTGAAGCTCCCTTACCTTCAAAGCGTGGGAGCACCCGTTGTGGTTGGAGGCCGAGAATGAATGGTCCACTGAGTGGAGAAGCTGCTGGCTGGGGTGAAGGGATCGTGGGCTCATTGTGGTCTCAGGGCCCTTCCTTTCCAGTAAACAGTTGTGAGAGGAAGCTCCTGTCGGCCCCTGAGACTTTCCATTTTAGTTGGTTCTCCAGGCATGGCTTTGATTGTTGGCGCTCCGGCTTTCATTCTCCGTCGCCATTTATTGAGGGTTCTCTGTGTCCCGTGCACTGCGTGAGGCCAGGTTCTGATTGTCGGGCAGCTCCTGGTCCCCTGGAGCTGATTTCATGGATGACAGTGTGGTGTTCATGCCAGTGCAGAGGTCTGATGCTTGCGTTGAGTTTGGAATCATGGGTGGAGATGCTGGAAGAGCATATGGGGATGTGGACAGTCACAGGAAGCCCCGGAAGTTTGGACCCGTACACCGCCCTCCACTGATGCAGAGAAGCCGCATCGCCAGTAATTTTCCACAAGTCTTTCCAGACCAGTAGCAGCTGCCCCCATATCCCTGAGGTGAACTTGTTAAAAATGCATGTTCTCAGGCCCCATCCCAGGCCACCTGAATCAGAAGCTCTGTGTCCATGGCATAGCAGTCGATGTTTTAAGAAGCCTCCCAGGTGATTCAGGTGCAGGCTATAACGGTTGAGAACCATTGCTTTTAGTGTTTAAGAGAACTGGTAGGGCATAGAATCCCTTGGGAAGATGAGAGGTGTGAGATTAGTACTAAGATTTATATATTACTATTGTAATATAGTTATATTGATAGAGCACTTAGATTATGCCAGGCATTGTGATAAGAAATATTAATTCCTTTAATCATCAATGCAACCCCTGATCGCAAAGAGTTGGACACAACTGAGCGACTCAACAGCAACAACCACCTAAGAGCTATTATCACTCCAGTAATTTATTTAAATTTATTTATTTGGATTCTTTTATTTTTTTTGACAGGGGGTGGGGGGTGGGGCTTCGCTGGTGGCTCAGATGAGAAGAGTCTGCCTGCAATGCGGGAGACCTGGGGTTGTTCCCTGGGTTGGAAAGATCCTCTGGAGGAGGGCCTGGCAACCCACTGCAGTATTCTAGCCTGGAGGATCCCCATGGACAGAGGAGCCTGGCGGGCTACAGTCCATAGGACCTCAAAGAGTCAGACATGACTGTGTCGCTAAGCCCAGCATAGCTTCCTTTTTTTAAAATTGGAGTATATAGTTGATTTACAGTGTTTTGTTAGTTTCTGATGTACAGCAAAATGATACAGTTATACATATTACACTGTATCATATTCTTTCCCACTATGGTTTATTATTATAAACCATTATTATGGTTTATTACAGGAAGTTGAATATATTTCCCTATGCCACATAGTAGGACCTTGCTGTTTACTTTTTTCCCCTACGGCTCTTTCTCGTCTGCCTTTCTGTTAACTATTGCTGTTTCCTGAGGTCCCATCCTCTGTGGAGATGGATGTGAAGATTGCTCCATTTAAATGTGAGAAAGCCATAGCACAGACAGACAAGGGTGTTGTCCCAGGCCACACCGGTTCAGCCAGGATCCAAGGCAGGCAGTGTGGTTACAGTGCCCGCCTTCCCTCTCTGGGAAGGTGATCGCTGCCTTTGTTTTGTGTTGGTCTTGTGGGAGAGGTCTGGAAGGTGGCTGTGGGTTGTCGCGGCATGGCCCTGTTTGCCGACCACTCAGGGTGAACAGGTTTCTCTTTCGGGAACCAATGCCCGGTGAGAGAGGAAGAATGTTGTTGGCCTTCAGTCTTACTGCAAACTTTGACATTTCATAAGCAAGTGGACGTGATTGCATATATATGATTACCTAACATGGAGCACCTCTTTCCCCAGCTGGATGACGGGCTCACGTGGATTTCCCCAGTAGGTGATGGTGGAAAGTGGCCTTGTTTGGTAACTCTGGGATTTGATC